CCATCCGTGTGGGGGTGTGCCTGACCACTGACCCCGGGGCCCAATCACTGACCCTGACCTTGGAGTGCAGCCCCCCTCAACCTTCATTGGATGGAATTCTCCCCTGAATCTCTTGTTCCCCAATAAAAGGCTACTCCAGGCGTGTTCGCTCTCTCGCTCTCTCTCTCTCTCCTGCTAGCCCGGAGTAATCCCTGCTGCCCTGCTGGGCGGTTGGAGGAGGGAACCAGAGGGGAGCCGTCTCGGACTCTAGCAATAGGAATAAGGTAAATGAGTCTGTGTTTTTATTTCGATCTCTTCTAACTAACTTTATGCCTAGAACCTCATTAATGAAACCACTGTGCAGGCCGCGTGGTGACAATTCTTTGTCATGAGTGATGGTCAGGAGCATGGTAGGATGTTTAGCTGATGGACATCTTCTCTCTCCCGTCTCTGATGCGACAAGTTGTGACATTTAAAAATGTTTCCAGCCAAATGTTCCTGGTAAGAGGGCATGAAACTGCCCTTAGTTGAAAACCAATGTTTTACGTCACCTGCCTGTAGTGGTCTTCGGCATCACTTGGGTGGAAGAAAATCCGAAAATTATAAAAATCACAGCTCTTTTGTCATTTGCTGAGAATTAAAATAATGAATATCTTTCCAAATAGTCTTCAGAAAGGTGATTTGTTTTTATTCCACAAATAGGTGGTGTTCATGTACCACATGCAGAACAGCAGGAGATATTAAGGGGGACTGGAATAGATGTCAGGGTCTCAACAGGGTCAGGTTCAGTGACACTGTGACAAAGAATGGCCAGGGCTTCTAGATTCCCACTGGGAAGGGAAGCGACCAGAGAAGACAGAGGATTCACTGTGGAATTGACTACAAGACCAAGAGGGTCCTTTGCCATGGTCAGCTTAGGAATTGAGAGACCAGGCCCAGACCTTGGGGGTCAAGTGCACTTGTGGTGGGATTTAGGCTTACTGTGACTTGGACAAATTGCTTCTGACCCTCAGTTTCCTTGTCTGTTGAAGGGATTGTGACTACAGTCACCTCTTGATTGTTTGCTGGGGATTCAGTGAATGACGTGTGACACCACGCAGGGCCTGGGACCTGATTTGCGCTCAACAAACCTGTAGAAACTTCTCTGGTTCTTAGCATTTTAAAATTAGGAGCAAAGTTTTGCTTTCAGCACAAGCACATCGATACCACCAAAGCTTGGAGCAGGTCACCGGACAGGGCAGTTCTTTTAGTGTTGGCCATCTGTTGTCCCTTATTAATGGCATGCGGAGTGTGTCTGTGGTTAGTTTTAAAGTATCATAAATATCACTAAGCCTGTTATTTCCGGTATGTGCAAGGGCAGTGAGAGAAATGTGCCAGTTAAAAGAGAGGTTCTCTCATCCTGAGAGTGGAGGTCATTTTTGAAAATCAAAAGTAAGAAATCCCCTAAAGCTGCACGTGCCTTTAAGGGGGAAGCTTTGGATGTGGAGATGATCACACAAATAAAACGCTTAGAAATGAGCTGGTGCATGGTGAACACCCAAGAAATGTCTCCTGTTATGATTATGATCATGAGAACAAAAAGGGGATCGTCCAGTACAGGAAGAGCCCTGAGCTGAAGGCCAAGATGGTTGTAAGCACATTGCAAGGACTTTTACCAAGGCCCCGTGAGCTGCACAGAGTTAGGTCCCCATTTTATAGATATGGAAGCTCAGGCACAACTTGCTCACGGGACCCAGCTAGTCAGTGGTGGAAGCAAGACTTGGGCCAGGAGTCTGGCTCCAGAGCCTGTCCTATTTTTAAGTGGAAAAAAAAAGTTTCTGTATTATTTTACAATGACTTCACTGTTAGG